CTAAGGAACCAGTGAAAAGTAAATCTCACTGTGGTTTCTCATTACTCCACCAAGTCCAGCTCCCACAATTGCTTATCGTTGGAATGTCCAAAAACAAAGGGCAGATGTTTTATTTCAGTTTCATCATTTGGATAATCAGATGTCATTTTTGAGATGTGTGTGGTACAGTCATGGGATTTGAAGTACTGGAGCAGAGAAGGGAGAAGATATAAGGGAATCACATTTTAAGAGTTTGCGGAATCTGTTGTGAAAGCTGCAGACTCCAGTGAAGTCCTGGATCATAAAGGGGAGATGAAAATGACAGTTAAGGCATTGGGATGAACTTTACTTGGAAAGGGAAAATGGAAGGAATACTCAACAGTTGCTCCAAAGACAGCCAGCAACTCCTGCTGGTTGAACAGGCCCCAAGCTCTGGCTTATTTGGTAATTCTCTGGAGGGGACTCACACTGTCTAAAGGTCTTTGAAGGAGACTGTCTTCCCAGAGGGACATCTCCACAGGCCTGGCTTCCCCCAGTCAGCTCCTTCACAGGTCTCTGGAATCCTTGTGGTTAGCTGAAGTTAACAAACCCGGTGTGGCTCAGTGTTCCACTGCACAGGGCATGCATATTAAAGTCGACAATGCTTACAAATGTAAATAAGGGCAGATTGATTAGGAACAACATTATCGCTGGGAATGTCGCACTCGCATGCATCAGCAATGAGGCAAATTGGGGGCAGCCTCAGTCCTGACCACCCAAGTCGAGCAGGCTTTTACACTGGCTCCTCTTCCCTTTCTTAAAACGTTACAGAAACAAGACCAATTAGATCCTCAAAGTAATTCATCTCTGTGTATGAAAAAAGCAGACCACAGGGGAAGCGGCGGGTGGGGGTGGGGAGATTAAGATAGCGCTTGTTAGAGCCAAAGCTGGGGATTGCGTCCTGGAACCTTTGGGTAGAATTTACAGGCCAGGACCATTGTCTGAGATGCTGAAAAGTTAACCTATCAAACAGCGGGTGAGGGGGCTCAGAGCGCTGAAAACCCCGGAGATCAATGTTCAAAACGTTTAGGAATTAAATCAAACTGAGGGAAAAGAGCCCGAATGGAAGAAGCATTGCCAGTGAAATGGTGCGCATGTACCAGCAGTCCCCAGCGAGAGGGCATGCAGCTGCGTGTGGAGAGGAATAGGGAGCCATTATGTGTACACAGCCTATAATTTCACTTTAGAAATCCATAATCCAAATAGCTATACCGAAATTGCTATAATAAAAGACTGGGAGGAAAAACTAATATTTTGCCTAAAACACTGTAAAGAAATTTGAAAAGATAAATATAGCAACCTGTCCTTGACAGCAACTTTGTCATACAGCAAGCCTCAAATATAAAAAGACTGACATAAAATTAGGGGCACCACCCACAAGCCTTGAAAAACTTCCAGCGGCAAGCACGAAACGTTTTGACTTGTAATGTCTGCAGAACCATTCAGTAAGAAAAGCTAGAATAACAAATCACCTCTCCTGCTTTATGCTATTTATGAAATACAATAAAAGATCAGCATTTTGCTCACGGATTGAACTTGCTGTGTCCAGCCCAATCGTACTGCAACAGTGTTTATTAATGTGGTGTCATTTTAATTGCAATATTAGTCTTCCCCTTAGGACGCTAGCAGCTCTTCCCAGAGCGGTGCACAAAATCACGTGCTCCTTCGAGGTTCAGTGTTTTTGAATTTCCGCGCTGGCGGGGTCCTCCTCCCGACCTCGCGAACACCCCCGGACATTCCGGCTCCCTTTGTCTCTATTCTACAGGATCTTCAGCCCTCCCGGGGTACCGCGCGCGTTTTGCCGTTTTGGGGTTCAGGGGGGGTAGGGCCTCCCAGTTAAATCTAGCAGAAAAGGCTAGAGGGAAGGCGGCGAGACCCAGTGGGGAGAAGGGAACCGGGGAAGGGAAAGGAAGGGGCGAAGAGGAAAGGAAAGGGGCGCAGGGAAGAAGTCGGGAGGCGGAAGCCACCGCCGAGGAAGGAGGGGGGCGGGGGGCTGCCCGGCAGGCCCCCCGCGGGTGCCGCGTGGGCCGCTCGGGTGGCCGACGCGCCCCGCCGCCGTCCCGGTAGAGCCCGGGCTGCGGACGCGCGGCGGCTGAATGGGCCGGGCCCGGGCGCTCGGCATTGGCCGGCGGCGCAGCGCCCGCGCAGGCATTGGGCGACGTCAGGGGGCCGGGCCGCCTCGAGGAATGTACTACGGCGCGTCCGGCACGTCCGTCCGCCCGCGCCGGTGGGGCGCGCGCCTCGCCCGGGCTCCCGGGGGCCCGAGCTGGAGACGTGGAAGGCTCCCGGCGCCTGCGGAGCGGACCGACCTCCCTACCTGCTCCACCTGGGCGGCGCGGGCACGGGCAGGGGCAGGCTCGGAGCCCGGCTGCGCGCGCACCCGCGGAGAGGCCCCCGTCGCCGAGCGCGCGCCGGCCCGGCCCGGTCACGTGGTCTCGTGGCCCCGCCCCCCGCGCCCTCCTCCTGGTCCCTCCATCTGGGTTTCTTTCTTTCCTTTCCTTTCTTCTTTTTTTTCAATGAACACACACCGTGTGCATCTTAAAGCCACACCGCCCCATTTCATGGCTGCGGTGGTTTCTCGTTGCCAAGGTCCCGCTGCCGTTCAACCCCGTTCTGAAAAGGAAAAAACGTGGAAAAGACTAAAATGAGGCAGAATCGAGGATTTGTGGGTCTGCTCTCTAACCTATCCAATAATTTGCAAAAATAAGATGACCAAATTCCATCCTCCAAGGCAAACTTTGAAATAAAAATTGGAGTTGTGTAGACAATTTCATTTGCCTAGAATCCCAGGATCCACCTCAAAGGGCGCGTGTTTTCTTCCAAGGACCGTGAATCCCGGGATGTCTTGGTGACACGGACCCGAGTGTCCAGACAAGTTCCCGCAATCAGCCCACAGTGTTTCGAATGGATCAACATCAAAGCGTTTATTCTCTCCTACGTCACGCTTTTATTAAATATAGAATGCGGAGCGATTTGGGGTTTAAAAACGTTTTAAACAGACTAAGTAAACAAGAACCTGGGGTTAGTTAAAAAAAAAAAAGGCAGAGGGAACCCAAATGAATCCAAAATATTAAGAAAACCTGTCTCTTTCTCAGGAAAACAGTTCCCGTTTCTTCGGTTGTTAAAAGGATTCTGTTGTTTCTCTTTTACTTATTATGTCACATTAAAGATTCCAATAAAAACGCCTGTGCCTCTGCGAGAGTTTGCTTCGGAGTCTGGATTCCACGTTTATAAAACCCTCCTTCACGCCAGGACTCTGCTGCCGTGGTGGTTTTTTTTTTTTTTTTTTTTTTTTTTTTGATGGGGGGAGGAAGGGGGAGCACGGATTTTAAGAAAGGGTGGCTTTTCCCAACATCCTTACTTTCCTCTTTAACTTTCCATTTTGTTTATCTTAATGCGAGGCGTTGTTCCCTGCGAGAGCCTAAGTCGTCTCTTTAGTTATAAAAGAGAGGAGGGGAAAAAAAAAAATCTGGCACACACAGGCGCACTATCCACCACCCTGTCATTATTGGTGCAGGCCTGGGAATTCAAGCCGGACCTCCCAGTATTTGCTGCAGCTTGAGGCCAAGGTTCCTCTGAAAGGATTTTCTTTGAGGAATCTCAGAAATTGTTTAAGCGCTTTAAAAAATATTGCATTTCCCTCAAGACGATCGCGAGGCAAACGTTCGTGTGTGTGTGTGTGTGTGTGTGTGTGTGTGAGAGAGAGAGAGAGAGAGAGAGAGAGAGAGAGAGAGAATGGGTTACGCGCAAAAAGTCTTACAAAAAGAAGACACTGTTGAAAAGAAAAGGAGTAAGCAGGGGGGGAGGGAGCATTCCTTAATGGAAGTATTGCATGCGAGAAGGTTGGCGCTCTCGGAGGCTCCCCCCGAAGCCGGGGATGCACACACTGGGGTTGCCTACCTGGGTGGTCTCTCTACTTTGGTGAGCTGTTGCTAAGCAGCTAATAATAGTCATGTTTGCTGAGTAATTTCTGCCCTCCGCGAGCCAATCGCGTCGCAGAAACCCAAGCCATCTGACAGCCCCGGGGGCGGGCGCTCCAGCCTTTTTCTCTTTCGCTCGCTCTCTCCCCTCCACCCCCTCCCCTCCTCCTCCTCTTTCTCCAAATGGAGAGAGTTCTTTTTTTTCTTCTTCCATCTCATCTATTGAATCAAGGAGCTGCTGCGGCCGCTGCCCGCTGCACACACACACCGCGGAGTCCCCAGGTCCCGGGAGCGAGAGAGGCGCGCGGCGCGGGGGCAGAATGGTCCAGCGGGTCGGCGAGCAGCCCGAGAAAGCAGAGTCCCGGACCGAGCAGCCGCCGCGAGCCCAGCGATCAGAGCCCGAGCAGCCCGAGCAGCCGGAGCAGCAGCTTCAGGAGCCGCCACCGCCAGCAGCGGCCGCCGCGGGAGCAGCGGCGGCGGCGGCTGCCCCGGCCCGGCAGCGCTGAGACTCGCCGGGCACCCTCGGACCCCAAGGCGGCGGCCCTGCGCTCGCCCTCCGCGGCCGCGCGGGCAGCCCGGGAGGCGCCGGGGGCGCCGGCGAGGCCCGCGGGAGCGGAGGGGGTTCGCTGGCGCGCTCTGCAGTGAAGGGGTCGCGGCGCGGGGCGGGGGGCGGGTAGGGCGCGCCGGGGACCGCGAGGAGCGCCCGGAGGACCGGCTGGCCGCGCGCGCCGGCCCGCACACGCCCGCGACCTGGATGTGGGCAGCAGCTGCCGCGGAGACCTCGGGCCCCCCGCGCGATGTGGCAATGGAAGGCGCAGGGTCTGAGTCCCCGGCCGCGGCCGCGGCCGCGACGGCAGCAGCGCCCGCCGTGTGAGCAGCAGCAGCAGCGGCAGCAGCAGGCGGCCTGTCAGCCGGAGCCCCAGCCCGACCTGCCGGCGGCCAGCAGCCTCCTAGCGAGCCGAGCGCCCGGGCGCGCCGGGAGCCCGCGGCCGCGGCCACAGCGCGCCGGGCCGGCCGGGGAGCTTCGGTGCCCGCGGCGGCGGCGTCGGCGGCGGCGGCAACATGGCCTCGGCTGGTAACGCCGCCGAGCCCCAGGCCCGCGGCGGGGGCGGCGGGGCCCCGGGCCGGCCGGCCGGCGGGGGAAGGCGCAGACGCGCGGGGGGGCCGCGCCGCCACGCCGCGCCGGACCGGGACTATCTGCACCGGCCCAGCTACTGCGACGCCGCCTTCGCTCTGGAGCAGATTTCCAAGGTGCATTTCAGCCTCCTCTCCTCCATTCCCCCTGCCCTCGCTTCCTCTGGGGCCCCCCACGCGCGCGCGCCTCCCGGGGAAGGGAGACCAGCGGGGCTTTACGAATTCAAACTCTCCCTCCAGTCCTGGGAGGAGAGGGCTGTCTGAGGTCCGCAGGGGGCAGCGCGTGAGTGTGTGCGAGGGTGAGTGTGCGCGCGCGCGTGTGCGCGGGGGCCCTCCCCGGGGCGCCCTTTCCGGAGCCCTGGAGAGCGCTCCCCGGAGGACCACCTCGAGGGCGGCCGGCCGCGCCGCCCGGCCCCGGCCCCCGGCCCCGCGTCCCCTCCTCCCGCGCGCTGCCCCTGTTTGCAGCCCAAAAGCCTGAAATGCTGCCACATTTCTTAACATCTTGGAGGGGGAGGCGGAGTGGAGAGAGGCGGAGAGAAGGGGGGGCGCAAAATAAAGGTGGTTTCCTTTTTTGGCAGCCGGCTTTGCTTTTGTTGAGTATGAAATCTCTGCTCCCTTAAAAGTTATCATCGGAAGAGGGCATCGCCTTTTCTGTTCCAAATTTTGAGCTACCTCTCCTCAGAGCCCGGGGGAAGAGGGAAAGTTGTAAACAAATTGCCACCTTAAATCCGCGGTGCGGGGCTGCCGAGCGGCCGGGTTCATTGTGTTTACGAGGCTCGCTGAAATGTGTGGAATCCGGGGCAGGCGAGCACCCAGCCGGGGGCCCGCCCGGGCCGCGGCCGCCGCCAGGGACACGCCGCCGCCGGGAGCCGCCCGCGCCCCGCCGGGACCCCCGCCTGCGCCGGCCCGGGCCCTTCCCCAGGGGCCGCGGCTTCATTTTACGTTTGCCCAGAAGGGAAGGGAAAGGAGGGAGAGACCCCTGTGGCCGCCCTCTTCCGAGCACACACACTGCCGTAAGTTGCAGATGGCTGCCCCGCGCCCTAGCTCGGCTCCCGCGGCGTCCCCCAACGCCGTGGCCGTGCGTCTCGAGTGAGCCCCGGCGGCCGTGCCCACCACGTGGAGTCCCACTTACTACCAGGGCGGGGGGGCCGGGGGGGGGCGTCTTTAATACACTGTTCCCAAAGCGCGCTCGCCCCGAACACCCGCGTCCCCACCAGGGAAACCCCGAGGTACGCCGAGGGGCGGGGAGCCATGGCTTGCCGGACCCTAAAAGTTGGGCGCCACCGCTGGGACGACGCAGCCCCTCCCTCCCCAGGTCCGGGGTGCTGAGGGCTCGCGCTCTCTGCTTGGCCTGCCCCTTCCCCTGCTTGCAGGACCGCGAGCCACGCTCGGGGATGCCGCGCGGGGTGCGCGTGGGGGCGCCCCAGCCGTCGCCGAGGTGCGGCTCCCGCGCTGCCTCTCGACGCTGATTCACGGCGGGCCCCGCGCCCCCCGCTCCGCCGCGCTCTCTCGGGCCGGCCGGGGCCGCCGTCCCGGGGGCACCGCCACGGCAGCCGCAGGCCGGGGCGCGCCGGCGGAGGGGGGCCCGCGGGCGGCCGCTCCCCGGCGCTCACTCCTCCCTTCTGCTTCGTCCGCAGGGGAAGGCGACCGGCCGGAAAGCTCCGCTGTGGCTGAGAGCGAAGTTTCAGAGACTCTTGTTTAAACTGGGTTGTTACATTCAAAAGAACTGCGGCAAGTTCTTGGTGGTGGGCCTCCTCATATTCGGGGCCTTCGCGGTGGGATTAAAGGCAGCTAACCTCGAGACCAACGTGGAGGAGCTGTGGGTGGAAGGTAAGAGCCCCGCCGGCCCCGCGCCCCGCGCCCGGCTGATGGAGACGTGCGCCCCCGAGTGCACCTCGGGCCGCGCGGGAGCGAGCGAACCCCCTGCCCGCTCCGGGGAATTGTTTATTGTTTGGGCGCCTGGCCGGGAGCCAGCCGGGCCCGACAAAGGCCGCGCTGTAATCTGCGCGGGGCGCGGCCGGCGCTAGGTGTGGTGGGGAGCGCGGCGGGCGCGGGGCGCGGGGCCCCTCCGCGGGGCGGACCACTCGCCTGGGCCGGGGGACCCCAGGGCCGTCGCCGCCGCCGGTCGCCGCCGCCGCGCCCCGAAATGCGGCCGGGGGAAGGTTTCTCCGCCCCAGGCGCTCCTCCTCGGCTTCCTGCCCTCCCCCGCCCCCACCCGCCGCGCCCGGGGGGAAAGGAGGCGGGGGGCCGAGAAAGGCCGCCCCTCCGGCGGCTGGAGTGCGCGCGCCCCGGAGGCCGCGGCCGCGGCGCCGGGGGAGGCGGGGGGCGGGCGCGGCGCGGGCCTGCGGAGGCGGCGGCGTGTGTGGTCCTGTTTTTGGACAGCTTTCAACTCCGGGGGAAAAAAACATTTGTCTCAAGGTACAAAAAAAGGGTTTGGGGGTGGGGGGGAGCTGGCGGGGAGGAGTTGAAAAAAATCCATAAAGCACAGACTGGAACGCATGTTTGCGAAGTAGATTAATGTTTCCTTGCGGGTGGGGGCTTTTCAAGTGGAATTATTCTGGGGGAAGGCTGCTGCTGGCCAGCTGAGAGGAGAAATGTGTTTTTAGAATGCGGGCTTGGAGGGAGGGGCCCCCGGCCCTCTCCAAGGGGTTCTGCCAGTCTTTCGTCCACGTTCCTCTGTTCGGGGGTTCTTGCAGCCTTTGGTGGGGGGAATAATCTATTGTAAACTTCAACTAGATTTAGTTCTCCCGAAAACGGAGACATTTTACATTCTTTTGGTGATACAGGTTGTTTTGGTTTAGGGTTTTTTGTTTTGTTTTGTTCGGTTTTGGTTTTGATCTTGGTTGTTTTTTAAATGATTTCTTAGGAAAGTAACAGTCTTGCTATTTGGAAACATTTTAGCCCCCAAACATAACCTTGGCTATCTCTTAGGCAGTGGGAAGGAAGGATCCAGGTAATTAGGTAGATAGGTCCAGCCACAGTATCTAGCATTCCCAGTGAAAGCTATCTAACACAAAAATTGCAAGTTTAAAAGTTATGTGTAATTGCTTCAGTGATCTCTTCCAGGATGCTGGGAGAGCTAACCTTGGAGAATACTTTGTTAATCTTGCCATGTTTGTGAAGATTTAGCCCTCAGTGTTTTGCAAGCATATGGTGGAGTCTTTAGTTGAGAAGTGACAATTAAAATAAAAGCCCAAATAATTAAGACCAGAACACATTCTTGCCTTAAGTAGCTTAGTAATTAATACAAAAGTGTTCTTTGGATTGAATCCACAGAGTAATTTACCTCAGTTCAGCCCTTCAATGTCATTGGTAGAGAAAAGAAGGGTCGTGTTGAGCAGTCTATGATGTCCCTAGCCACAAGTTTCCTGAGCATCTATGTCGTCTGCAGCACTGTGCTAGACAATGTAAGGGACCCTGAAGTATTTGAGACACTCCCTGGGCATAAATTCCTACACTACTACTTAGACCAGAGTTCAGTGGAATTGCACTGTTTGAGTTTACAGTTTAAAGTGGGCTGTGAAAGTTTTGGGGTCGGGGGGAAAAGGCAGCAAGGACAGAAAAGACTTCATGCAGCTGGTAAGGCAAATTACTGGACCTGGAGAGAGAAAGGAAGGAGAGAATTCTATATTTAAGGGTTTCAGAGTAAAGGGAGTCAAGCAGAGACATGAGTTAAGAGGACAGATGGTAGTGTGAGTCCCTGAAGTAGTGAGAATAGGGTGCAATTGCTCACGTGGACACTGGTTTGAGAATGCTGTGACTGGCTAGATTATGGGAGTAGTCTCTGGAAACAGAGCTTGGGTGAAGAGGAAGCTCCCAGCTGTGTTCCTATATGCTTCTCTCCACCAGTTGGGCCAACAAATCTGTTGGGCATCAGTGATGATAGCAAAAGATAATTTTTTGTTGTTTTGAGCAAGAACTTTTAGTAGACCTTTAGTAAGTTTAAAAAGTTATGTGATTTATTTCTTAACATTCCATATTTCTAGAAGCAACTATGTTTCTGCATTGCATAACTCTTCACAACTCCTGGAAGGAGGAGACATATGCTTAGCAGCTCCTGCTCTCTCTCTCTCTCTCTCTCTCTCTCTCTCCACCCCCCCAACCCCCTCTGCTGGAGCCACCAGCTTAATGAGTGTTAGGGAGTGACACACCTCAAACAGGATTCATTTTGCCTACTTTGGGTCTCTGAGCTATTTCTCCATTTCTGTTTTTGCAGTTTTAGTGTGGTCCACTAGTTCTCCCACTAAATATTATTTTTAAAATACTATTACTAATAAAAACCACTGCCTTTACCATTTATTAACACATTGTCACAACTCAATAAAATAGCTATTATCTTTTCTTTGCAAATAACTTATGGAGTGCTTTTATATATAATATTTGTCCACTTTTTTGTCCCCTTTTTTCCAAATTATTGTCCCCTTTTTTCCAAATGTCTCAAGTCAGTGTGGTCCCTGTTCCCCTGACCCAGATTTTTTATTCTTTCAGTCAGTCAGTCATTCATTGTGAGATTCTAGAGTTCTAAAAGGATGTGTTTAGAAGGAGCTGCAGTTTTTAAGTGCCTGTAAGCCCAATGAGAGAGACTGCTATCCACTTTATAATTTTAATTCAAAATAACGGAAGCAATGAGGTGGTATTGTTTATGGTACAGTGAGCTTAGTATTCATGTCAGAAGTAAGTAGTGTGGGCATTTAATTTCGGGAGTAAGAGTTTCCTTTTGTCCTAGACTGTAGTAGAAGTTTATGAATTAAAATGAGTGGCAACTCAGAATATAGGTTATTTTTGCATTTTAATCCCTTAGATAAATTCTTCATCACCTTCAGCGAAGGAATCTTTTACATGGTATTTTGTTACTGGATTGTCACTGTAATGTATATGAACAAGGGTGCTTGCTACACTAAATGAACCAAGTGAAGAGAGGTTGCATAGTTCCCTTATTAAAAAGCATTAGAAGAGAGGAAAGCATAAGAGACATTAGTAAGGGAGAGGAATGCCAAGGAACAATTTGGAAAATGACTATTTCTTATCTTGTATAATACTATATACACACATAGGTAAATACCCAGGCAACTGGAGATACATTCATAAATATACTTTGATTGATACATCCTTGTTTCTACCAAAATAATGTTATCTTTTTTCATTTAACCAGCAAATTAAAATTTAAAAATCTTCATGATAGGCTGCATCTTTGATTTGACTTCATGCTTTGTTTGACATGCTAGGTAAATGTGGCTTTTATATAAGGACAATCTGAATATATTCGCTAGAATGTGTGGGCCAATATATGTGTTAGATATGCAGTATTTGCACATATACCTTTTATGGCATTGGTGATGAGAGTTCTGTTGTTAAAATGTTTGTATGATTATCTTTTAAGAAACTGCCACTATACCTTTGGTGCCAATGTGAGTTTTAGGATCATAGTATTTGCAAGTCAAAAATCTCAAATCCAGCTCACTTGTGAATGAAATCCTGAGGTTGATGGAAGAAAACATGATCTCTTACTATGGATGTCTTCTGTTATGAAACATGTGCCCATGCAGCAGGTCAAGAAGAGATTAATAATGATTTAAAAATTTTGATTTAGCACATGTTCTCAGTGCCTGCTCTGAGCCAGGCATGGCATGATGCTCCAGAGAGATGTTGGGGAAAAGCCACAGTCCCTGCCCTGGGGAGGTGGTGGGCAGGTACCCAGACTAGAGAGACAGGGTGGCAGAGAAACCTTCAGAAGGAGGCTTATGCCAGGTACAGGGGCTGGAGAGCTGGGGTGAAAGAACAGCATAGTCAGAGGCTCAGAGGATGACAAGATGGTGGGCTGTTGAGGAATGTCTGTTGCTTCCCTTTGGTTGGGAAGTCAGATTTGTGTTGGGGAGCCTTGAGACTTGGAACATTGGGCCTGCAAGGCAGCAGGAAGGTCTAGGGCTTTTGGTTGGGGAGCTGACAGCTTTTCCATTAGCCATTATTTGCAAGTCCAGTGATTTGTGCTATTTGGTGCCCTCCCTGGTACCTTAGCACCTCTCCTGGATCCTGCCCTTTGGAGCACAGAAAGGAAAATTTTTTTTCCCTTGTCACTTTTCTACAAATTTATTGTTTCTTTGCTCAGACACTATATAAACCCAAGTTCAAACCACCTCTTGGAGTTACTCTTCCCTAGGAACTCCTAGGTACATAAGTATAGCATACAGATTAATGAACTTCTGTTTGCTTTTCTCTTGGTAGTCTTTTGTCAGCCCAATTTACAGGACCCCAGTTAGAGGACCCTGGAGGGTAGTAGGAAAAGTAATTATTTTTCACTTATATTTCAATCTTGCCCATTTCTTTGTTGACTTTTCCTTTTTGTTTTCTGTCTTCCTTAATATCTATCCCCCACACCAATCCTCTCACAAACACGGGTTTATTGTCAAGATTCTCCAGTGACAGAATGGTCATTTATCTCTTTGCACTTTTTGTTTTTGTCTCAAAGCTTGCCCAGTCCCTGCCTCCTTTATTGCAGGTTGTATTGTAGCCTTGAAATGAACCCATATTGCTTTGGTATTTGGTTATTAATGTCTCTGTAAGCCAGCATTAAGGGACAGAGACACAAGTTGTGACTTCGAATTTTTTTTTTTAAAGAATTTAATGTTTTAAAAAAGTACATGCTTGATGTTTACAAGTACTGGAATTATGCCTTCACTGTTCTTGGCTGGAACACCGGCAGGTATAGGAAATAAGTGGTCTTCACCCTTTCAGTGTCCAGAACATGACTTCTCAGCCTCAGCACTGTGGACATCTCCGTCTGGGTCATTCTCTGTTGTGGGGGCTGCCATCCATGTGCATTCTAGGATATT